ACCTGTTTCTCTTCCTTCGTGGTCTCAAGTCCTGATCTTTCGTAAGTAGATTACAAACCTCAATCTGCTGCAACATTGCTGCAACAAAGCCACATCAATTTTAACAACATCTGTACAAGTATAGTCTGAAATGTAATAGTGTCCTGTTGTAGTATTAAGATAAGGCAGCTGAGTTAGACTCTGGCTTAGTAATGTTTGAAGTAGATCTATTTAAATAATTGGGAGGAGTTAGTGTGACTACATTTAAGAAAGCTTTCTGGCATTAATATACTGCTATAATATACATTTTTCCAATTCTTTGCTCTTTCTATGGGTCAAGCACACATGCACAGAAATACACCACAAACAGTGTATATCGTCTGTACTGTTTGTTGTTTGCTGCAAGGAGGCAAATTGCTGGGAGGCAGAGGAAGATTTCCCCCCCCCCTAGTTTTCCTCTCCAAAAGCTAGGTGTGTCTTATACTTTGGAGTGTCTTATACTCTGAAAAATAGAATAGCTGCAGTAGTAATAAAAGTATATTATAGTAGCCTTTTTTTCCAACTCTAGAAATAACACTTGTCAAAAATAGACAACAAACAAGAAGACCTATTGGCTGATGAATGGAATAATAAGTCTGTGCCAATTGGTCTAGTGGTTAATAATACGCTGGTCCCAAAACCAGGAGACTGTGAGTTCTATTCCTGTCTTAGGCATGAAATTTACTTGTCTAGGCATGAAATTTTCCTGTCTTAGGCATGAGTTGTTGGATATGAGACAAGTGGCAAATAAATTTCACAATAAATAAATAAAACGAAAGCCAACCAGGTGACCTTGGGCCAGTCTCTCTCTCTCTCTCTCCCTCTCCCTCTCTCTCCAACCTATCTCACAGAATTGTTCTTGTGCGGAAAATAGGAGGCGGAGGATGAATTTTAGGTATGTTCATCACCATGAGTTGCTTATAAAGTAATAAAGGCAGAATTTTTAAAAAAACCTGATAAATAATTTCACTTATCTTTCGGGAAGGAACATTTTAAACAAGAGATTATAGTAAATATCTGTATGTACAAAAAGTATATAGTAGTATAGTATAGCCTTTATTGTCATTGTACATCGTGTATACAACGAAATTGGTTTTAGCCTCACCTGTGCAATCTGTGACAAAAAATATAAACAACATACATAGTAATGAGGAAACTATTTTTAAACCTATTTGTTTGGCTAGCTATGCTTCGATGTCTTCTGCCCGATGGTAGAAGTGTGATGGTAGAAGTGCGAAGGGACTGACCAGGGTGTAAATCATCTGTGAGTATCCTCCCTACTCTGCTAAAGTAGCGAGACCTGGCAACGTCAACCAGTAGTGTTAGAAGACAATCAATGGTTTCTTGTGCCGAATTGATCACTCTCTGTAGTGTCTTCCTTTCCACAGCAGTTAAACCAGTGTACCATACTGTAATGCAGTATGTGAGGACACTTTCTATCATGGACCGAGAGAAAGATGTCATCAGCCATTGTCTACAAAAGCATAAATGCTAACACAAATAAAAGTTTAATGAAATCCCACTGAGTCAGGTTCTGACCCAAAGCAAAATAATGAAAGAACTTTAATTTGATTACAGTATTTAAAAAAGCTTTCTAGCAAAGTAAAGAAGGAAATACTTACATGCAATACGGACATAGGCCTTCCTACTCTTGGTTGTGCCTGCAGAACTCCAAGCCACACACTGGCACCAGTAATCTTCGGGTCCAAAGAGTTCTTCAACTTGTTGCCGTGAAATCTCAATGCTTACCTCTCGAACAATGAGTCCTACCAAAACATAACCAATATGTCTGCATTGAGTTCAGAATTTGACATTTTTTTAGCAGTAGGCAAGTAACTCATTAGTATGGGAAAAAGAAGCTGTTGCATGACAAGGAAATATTTTGAAGACACCTTTGAAACACATATACTTTTTTAAAATATGGTTTTTAGACTCGAAGCTGCTTCAGATTTTGAAAAAGAAAGAGGAAGTGCAAGTCATTTGGAGATCCTTTCCCAAACTTCAAGAGATCATTCAGAGGGAAGGGTTTCATTTCTTTGTTGTAATAGAAAACTGCCCAGGACAAATGTAACAAAGAGTCTTGAGAAGGACACCAACACAGGGGGATAGGAGACACCTGGGACCTGCCAGTTGTCCATTTATAGGAACATGATGTACATGTTTTTCTGTCTTTCTCTGTAAAAAGCAAAGCTGGTGGGAAATCTGAAAAACTCATGCTTTATCGAAGAGCCCACCATAACTGTCTTTGGACCTGTTCATGTAGCTGCTCATTTGCTGCTTATTATTGCCACCCACTTTCTTACTTACTGTCCCAAAGGTGCTTTTTCATGAGCTAACTGGACTTTCTTGGTTTTCTTTGAAGACATTTGGCTTCTCATCCAAGAATCTTCTTCAGCTCAGAACTGAAGAAGCTTATTGGATTAGAAGTGGCGCATCTTCAAAGAAAAACAAAAAAGTCCGGTTGTCTCTTGAAAAAGCATCTTTGGGACAACCATGATCTGGATGACTGAGTATCTCCATAGACATTTCTCACGTACTCTTCCCATTTTAATCCAGAGGAAATAAACAAAGCAAAGTAATAGAATGTATCTGTAACTACTGTGCTTTCCTGAAAGTAAGACCAGGTCTTATTTTCTTTTAGGCCCCAAAATATGCACAAGGGCTTATTTTCAGTGTTGTCTTATTTTCAGTGCCACAGCCACAAGGCAGGATGGTGGTTGAACTGCCTGATGGGCACCAGTAGCCATGTGCAGCAAGAGCCTACGTAGCCGCCAGCCCATTTCTTCTGGCACTAGTGTGGCACCGGAGCAGGAGGCTGAGTGATGGAGCCAGGCTATCCACGCCCTGACAACTGCCTTGTCTTGTGGCACTGGCCCACTTCTTCTGGAAGCGGGAAGAGGAAGCCAAGCGATGTGCTGATGATGCGGCCATGAGACGAGGTGGGGAGGGAGTGGAGGACGAGGCAGGTGGGTGGAGGATGACACAAGACAGGTGGAGGTGGTGTATGAGATGAGACAGGAGGAGGTGAAGGGTGGGTGGTCGGCTGCGCATGCACTTAAGTATGGCTTATTTTTGGAGTAGGGTTTATAGTGGGTGCACGTACAGAAAACATGTTAGATCTTATTTTTGAGATAGGTCTTATTTTCAGGGAAACACAGCAAATTATTGAGGAAATGACAAAGATAAGAAGAAGGGAAAATCTGCATTTTTATAAGTTACATGGTACATAGTTATACACAAAATTATAAAACAAAGTTAAAATAAGTAGCAGATTATTGCCAGTGCCATAAAATTAATCAGGTTGTGCTCACTTACATTAGGTGGGCATCAAATAGCTTTTAAACTGGATCATGTTTTCTCATTCTTTAAAAAAATATTTTTCACATAGTGTAGTAAAGCCACTCTGCTGATTGCAAAGATCATAGATATCTAATATAATGTACCTCAAGCTTGCACTTTAATTATAACTTCTAGAACCTACCCAAGATTTACAACATGCTGAGTAGTCTTCATTTACTGATCCATACTGTGATTTTAAATTACTGTATGATACTGAGTGACAAAGAAAAAAACACAGCCCTTCCATTGTTGATAAAATATTTATTCATACATTTCACATCCAAGGGTTTGCTATAGACAGCTTCTATTGCTTCAGTTATTAGATTTGAGTCTATTTTTTTTATTTTGTTTTTATGTATTGGGTCTACAATAAGGCCTATATGCGCTTTAAAATGCCTGTGCCAATTGGAACTTCCTTTTTCTACTCATGTACTTTCTCTTATTAGAAGAAATGAACTGTTGTAATTGCTATTGCTTAGTTTATATTCTTGTGACCTTCTTGAATTGCCCTCAAACACAAATGTGCTAACATGCTGTCTTCTCTGTAAATGAGGAGTCCTAAGTAGCTTAGAGCCTGGATAATGTCAACAAGGCTAATGGGATAGGGAAGAGAGGGCATGGATACAGCTCGAGGTGTGAGCCTACATTCTAAGCCAATGTGATTAAAGTCTTCAAAAGCATTCTCTTCTTTTGGGCGAATGGAAGAATTTCATTTCTACTTGCTTGGTGGAAGGGAACTTATCATATCTTTTCTGACATGTGACCCTTCCTTTCAGCTTAATGTATACCTTTTCTTTTTTCGCAATAGCCTTTTTAACCTATTTCCGTGATGATGAACCTATGGCACACGTGCCAGAGGTGGCACACAGAGCCCTCTCTCTGGGCACACGTGCCATTGTCAGCTGCTCTTCTGGCATCCAGGATGTGCGCGGGCCAGCTCGTCTTTGCGGGTGCCGGAAATTGCCCTGAAAAATGCCCCCAAAACAGGCCATTTTCCGAACCATTTTCAGGCCAATTTTCAGACTGTTTTTGGCCTGAAAATAGCTCGAAAAATGGCCTGAAAAACAGGCTATTTTTCAGCCTGAAAAACAGGTTGTTTTTTGGCCATTTTTCGGGTTGTTCCAAGGTTGTTTTCTGGCGCTCCAGCATCTGCGAAGACCAGCTGGCTGGACCACATGCACATGCGTTCAAGTTTGGGCACTCGGTGCTGAAAAGGTTTGCTGACCTACTTCATCTTTCCATATAAGGTATACTTGAGAAACACAGAACAGATCATACATACATACATACATACATACATACATACGATATACAACTCTTGTATCTGCACCTAGATATATTCTTATTCTAACAATTCTTATCACTTTTATTACCTATAAATAAAGCTAATTAAATATATATTTAAATTTATTCTTTGCTTTCTCTCATATTATATAAAGCAGACAAGGTATTTATGAAGGAAATACTTTGTTTGCTTGTGTATTACGTTGCATGCATGAATGAGTGTGCCAGATGAGTAATTCATAGTCCCTAGATAGATGATACAAGCCAGAAGTACTTGGACATATGCTCTGGATCCTACGACTCAAATGTTTTAGGTCACAATTTAACCTTAAGCTATTTCAGTCTGTGTTAGCAATTTTCCCCCCTCTTTTGTACAAGGGTTTCTTATTCGGGAGTTCAGGAGTCAAGTTTTGTTGCCCCTGGCTCCAAAGACAAAAGAGGCCTAAGGTCTGTCTTTACAGTGGAAAATTGTGTTCTGCAAAAGCACTGATTACAGAAAGCACACAGTGTGAAGTAGACTATCGTAGAATTGTTAAAAGCATCAAAACCCACATAAATGTGTTGGCAGTAAATGTGTCTCCAGTTCATAGGCTACAGTGGCCACAGAAGTGGAAATAAAGATTATTACAGAGAGGGAAAAAAAGCAGGAATGCATCCTGAAACCTGCCAATTCCAATAAGATCACACACTAGCTACCTTCCTAACAGCTAAGCCCAAAAATCTAGATGAAATGTCAGAAAAAAATAAAATAAAAAGCAATTAATGTAGCAATCTTCCCACCAAATCTTTACCAGAATCTGAAATCTTGTGACTTTTTCTTAAGACAGCCTTGTAAAATACTGTCACCCATTGGCATCTGTTTCATGTAAGGTGCATGGAAGAAGTTTTAGGAATAAGGTTAGAAACACATTTTAGAGAGTTATTCACATTAAAAAAGCTCATGTTTATCAGTAAAAATGTCTTAAAGAACTAATGGCAAGAAGATTTATTGCTAGATTCTAATTTCTGAAGTATGATTGAAAGTAGGAAGAATTTTCTGGCACTAGATTTTTTTTATTCCAGGAAAATATTGAATGTCATTTTGGTTAAAGTAGATGTAAAAATGTAAAAGTATGCAAAAAGGGCATATTTATTGTATCTTTTTGTTAGAGTCCTCTACATACGAAATGTAGACATTTTATGCATCATCTAAGACCGTGATGGGGAATCTATGCCACTGGTGGCATGCACAGCCCTCTCTGAGGGCACGCGAGCTGTCACTTTAGCTTCGCTCCACCGTGCATGTGCATGCGCCTCCTGCTGGCCAGCTGGTTTCCGGGTCTCTGCTGCGCATGTGTGGTGGGCGGGGTGCATGAGCGCATGCACAGAGGGCAGGAGGAGCATGGAAGGCCGTGATGTGTGCAGGGCACACACAGGGTGTTACACGCACATGCGCAGGGTGCACAGTGTTTGTATGTGTCACATGTGCATTGCATTATGGGTGTGTACATGCTTTTGGCACGCAGCTAGGAAAAGGTTAGCCATCACTGATCTAAGAGATGACTAATTACAAATCAGTTGCCATTTGAACAAAAGACCAAAGCCAGATATTGATACAAAAAATCATTTTATTCTATAGGGTGTCACATTCCGGCGTTCACGTTGAATACAAACAGAGAGTCAGTTTGTTTGGCAAAAAACTTTATCTCTATCTAATATTACATGATAACCAGCACTAAATAACAATCATACAAAGGTAAGCAAATTCAAGTCAGTTCTAACCAAGTTAACACTGTCACTCATATATATACCATTACCCCACCCAGCTCCACCCACAACTCCACCCAGATGACACCTAACCACCATCACCAATTACCATGACCCACACCATCAGCCACACCCCCCACTCAGTGTCATCATAACCTCCTTCCTGGTCAGCCACAGAAGAGTTACGTCAGAATAGTCAGTTCCACCTGAGTAAAAGAGTTACTTTGGAGTAGGCTCTGAAGTGCAGCTGTTGTCGAGGAGGTGTGCCTGCAGAGTAGTGAGGGATGCAGCTGCTACAGGCTCCGCCGACATCGGAGAGTCAACATCAACATGGCAGTGTTGGTGGCATGTAAGCATAGGCGTGGCAATGGGCGCCTCCCCCCTCTGGATGGCAGCC